AATCAAACATTTACAAATTTAGGAAATTTGCTTGCAGGACTAGCAGAACTGTTTGACGTTTTCTACTTGAGAGGCTCTAGAAGAGATGATCGTAGAACAAGCATTTGTGGGCGAAATCATACAAGCTTTTACTTGAGTAAGGGAGATCTAGATCTCAGCGGACAGAAAAGCGTACTTCGGTTAGAAGCAGTGCTACAGCAATTATACGTAGTGAATAAGGCCGCCGGTCAGTCGTTCCGGGCACTTAGGTAAATCACTTGGCAATCGGCAGGGTAAAGTGGTATTCTCCAAACAGCAGGACTTACGCTTAGGTCTACTGTTTGAAGTGCACCAGCCGCGAGAGGGTCGGCGGATTCTACAACCTCAGCGGAAAATCCCAAGTCCTCAATACAGTCGGCGAGATCAGCCGGCTGAACAAGGCCTGGGTCGTACTCGACCTCGGCCTTCATCGTCAAGAGGCCAACAAGAGCGGACTTTACGCCTACAAATCGAAAATAAGAGCGATTACGGGTGTAAATCAGTCAGATGGTAAACACAGCAGCAACAAACTCTAAGCACTCTCCTGCCAAAAGTTCATCAGGCACTGGAGAAAGTTAAATGACAATCACAAAAGCGCGAGTGAAAAGTACTAAAGCCACCCTATGAAACCACCGCAAAATAGTCAAGCTTATGCCACGAAAAAAAACTATCTGCAAACTTTAATTAGCCTACTGGTTTAACTGTCCCAATGGTAGCCCCTCCCCCCTTAGATCATAGGCAAAATGGGATCAGGGTTGCGCAGTCGGGGGAGATCCCAGCTAAAATTTTGTGAACAGAACTCATAAGAGCATAACGAAATAGGGTTAGCCTTTAAAATGTATCAATAAGCACCTTTCGAATAGGCGGAGTTTCCATCATTATATCCATCTGTCCAATGGAGGGACGCTATCGCAGATATGGATTCATAGTGGAGCTGCCTAATGGTAATAGGAGTTGCTCTAACAGATCCCTTGCTCTTGTGGACTTCATTCGTTAACCAAACGGAAGAGCCACCGAGGATATGGCACGCTATGCT